ACAAACAAAAAGGATAAGTGTTTGGTTTGAAGCACATGATAAAGGCCAGGTGATGCTGAGAGGATGAATATTTCCCTGAGGTTAGATGGTTTATTCATCATTCAAGCACAGGTAGAGAACAGCTGTTGTATTCCAGGGGATATTAAGTACTGAGTGAACATGTTGAATGGGCGTAGCAGAGGCTGTGGTCACAGAACTTACATGCTAAGAGGGCAAGATCCATAAGAAATAAGCAAATACATGTTGTAATGTGAAGGCATTGTGAGCAATCATCAAATAGAGCAGCAGGCTCAGGGGATACTGGTAAGGAGGAAGGCGTCCTCTTTCAGACATGTTTATTGGAATTTATTCTGCATGGGAAGAGAGCAGCAGAGGTCCAGCAGTGACAGGACAGCAGCAAACCTGGGAGAGAACCAAGAGAGTGAACCAGTGAAGAAAGAGGCGGTGGCAGCGCTGTGTGGGGCTGAATGTGCCAGGGTAGCCGGGATTTCTAGTCAGGGATCAGATTCAAGCCAAGGAAGATCACTGGCTTTGGAAGGAATAGACTGTTCAGACAAGCAAGGGAGCCAAAGCCAATTTGGAGGTATATTAATTAGGATGAACCAAACACTGTAACAAATAACCAAAAGTGTAGGGTTCAAGCATGATAGAAATTTCTTTCCTTCTTGCATGAATAATCCAAGAAGGATGTTTTAAATGAATGGAAAGCCCTCTTCCATACAAGGAGATGATCACAGAGAAGAGGCACACGTTCTCTTAAAGATCTTGATCCAGAAGTGCCATTTACCAGGTCCGTGTCCAGTTAGAACTTAGCCACGTGACCACGTCCATCCATAGACAGTCCTGAGGAATGTGTGCTGGCTGTGGTCTCTACCACAGGAGCCCTCTGCCGGGAACAGATAAGAGGGATGAAACTTAGGATGGGAACAGTAGCGGTGGGGAGGAGTGAACATATCCAAACTGTACTTTTTTTTGAAGATTTATTTATTTTTATTTGAAAGATTTACAGAGAGAGAGAGAGAAAGGAGAATCAGAGAGAGGGAGAGAGATATTCCATCTGCTGGTTCATGCCCCAAATAGCTGCAGTGGCCAGAGCTGGGTCAGTCTAAAGCCAAGAGCCTAGGGCTTCTTCTGGGTCTCCCACATGGGAGAGGCTTAATCAACTTGGACCATCTTATTCTGCTTTCCTAAGTACATTAGCAGGGAGCTGGATTAGAAGTGGATCAGCCAAGACTCAAGGCAGCATCCCATATGGGATGCCAGCACTGCAGTTAGAGGTTTACCCTACTATGCCATGGTCCCAGTCCCTGAGACTATATTTTGATGTAATGTCACCAGGATTTATGGATGGAATGGGGGAAAAGGATGATCCTTGAATTTTTACATGAACAGTGGTGGTCTCGTTTATTCACATGAAAAAAACTCATGGGTAATCAATGTTTGCCATGTTGACTTTGAGTGCCTATTGGCCAGGTAAAAGGAGCTTCTAGAAGACCGTTACATATTCAGGATGCTGTTAGGGAAGAGGGAGGTCGAGGATGACATGAAGTTGGGATGATCAGTGTGTAGACAGTATTTTAGGCTATGGAGCCCAAGGTGATCTTTTAGGAGTAGTTTGAAAGAAAAGAGTGTTGGGGACTGAGCACTGGAATCCTCCAGTATTTTCGGTTGGAAAAGAGGAGGTGAGCCAAGCAAGGACAGTGGGCAATGAATTTAGGACAACAGGAAAGGGAGGTGTCCTAGAGAAGACAGTGTTTTAAGAAAGAGGAAGTGACCAGTGCTGCTGAAAAGGTCAGGAGGATGGGGCAGTGACCTTTGAATCTGAAAGATTTAAATCATTGGCAAGCTCAGTATGAGTAGTTTTTGTGAAAGGGTGTGTGCTATCTCTTAAACAGTGGACTGAGGAAATAATGCAACACAGAGACTGTGAACACACTTCTGTTTTCTAAAAGGGAAACACATAAAGCAGTCAACAGGGTGTGGCCTGGAGATGTTTGTTTGGACGGGAGTCTTTGTGTGTGATGCAGATGATTCAATAGGAGGTGAAAAATGAATGATGCCGAGAGAAGAGCCATGGAAACCCCAAAGGGGATGAAATAATCAATTAATAATAATGATAATGGGAAGGGTGTTGGATAGGAGCAGGTTCTATAAACAGGGTAAAGACTGAATAGACAGGAAACAGATACCAAAGGGCTGACAGATGTGATGGTGAGGAGATGTGGACACCTCCTTGGAGAGGGGAAGCTGGGAACTTGCATCAGGGGGTGGGAGAGTGAGCTGATTGGGTATAAGGCCGAGCAGGGCTGCTGATGTGTGAAGACAATGCAGAGGAGGTCATCAAAAAGTTGTTGAAAAATGAGAGTTTTAAAAAAGCTATATGTGGATTTTAAAAGCATTTGTACCAAAATAAATTATCTTTTAATTGCATTGTTCTGTGAACTTTTTAAAGTTCCCATGAATATGGAAGGGAAGTAACAGAACACTAAACTGTCGTGGATCATAAGAGCTAGGCTGTGAAAACTGGAGGTCGGTGATTAAGAACAGTAAGGCAGATGAGCTAACACTTCTGTAGGCTGTGCATGGCCAGAGTGCGCAAGAGCAGATGAGCTTCCATCTATATATGTTGGACACTGTGGCTCATCGGGACACTGGATGTCGTTTGTTAAGCTGCTGCTCAGACACCTGCTTCCCATATTAGCGTGCCTGAGGGTGAAGTCTCACTTCCGCTCCTGACCCAGTTTTCTGCTAATGTACCTGCGATGCATGTGCAGATGATGGCCAAGGGTATGAGTTCCTGCCATCCCTGTAGGACACCAAGATGGAATTCCAGGGTTCCTGGCTTCAGATCTGACCCAGGATGGAAGGTAGATCTGTCTGCCTCTACCTGTCTTTATGTCTCTCTGCCTTTCAAATAAATAGACAAATAAATATTTAATCAGTAAGATTTTAAAGAGGAAGTGAAATGGTGAGAGAAATTTGCTTAAAATCATGGTTTAGTGTAGGTTCACCGGTAATGACAATCCTCAAGTGTGGCTAAAGAAGTTGAGAGTTGAGGTGAGTGAAAGAAAGGATTTTTGGAAAGAGAACTGCAAGCAATGAACAAGCATTGAATGAGCTGCTTATGTGGAAGCCACAAAAATGATGATGATGATGAGTGCTGCTACAAAGGTAGTGAGTTAGGGGCTGAGATCTTTACTAAAAAGGAGCCGGTGATCATGAAGTTGGTAAAAGGCTGTAAAAAGAGTAGAGTGTGCGGGCCCGGCGCAGTGGTGCAAGTGGTTAAGGTCCTCACCTTGCATGCCCGGGATCCCACATGGGCACCGGTTCTAATCCAGCTCCCTGCTTGTGGCCTGGGAAAGCAGTCGAGGACGGCCCAAAGCTTTGGGACCCTGCACCCGCGTGGGAGACCCGGAAGAGGCTCCTGGCTTTGGATCGGCATAGTATCGGCCCGTTGCGCTCACTTGGGGAGTGAATCATCGGACGGAAGATCTTCCTCTCTGTCTCTCCTCTCTGTATATCCGCCTTTCCAATAAAAATAAAATCAATCTTAAAAAAAAAAAAAGAGTAGAGTGTGAAATAGTCTGTTGTCATGCACGTAAGAGGAGCCAGATCATATGCCACAGTGATCAGAGAGGATGGAAGACTTAGACTAGAAGTCTCTGATAAGTCACAGCTACATGCCCTGCCCTGGGCTCAAGATGCTGTGGCTCCTGCCCCATGACAGAGAAAACCCAGTGGGCATGGAAGCATATGAACAGATGCACGACCACAGTGGTAAGTCCAATGGAGGAGAGGAAATGGATCCTAAAGTAATCTTTTTTTTTTTCTGTTAGAAAATTATATATTTTTTTTATTGTTATTAACATTGTATTCTGTGATACAGTTTTATAGGCACTGTGATTCCCCCCACCCCTCCTATACCCCTCCCCCCATAGTGGATTCCTCCACCTTGCTGCATAACTACAGTTCAAGTTCAGTTGAGATTCCTTCATTGCAAGCATATACCTAGCATAGAGTCCAGCATCTTATTGTCCAGATAAGTTCAACAGCTTCTTGGGGAGACCTTCTCTGGTCTGAAGGTAGAGCTAACAGAGTAAAATCCCGGTCAGTTAAAAGCCCCAACAAAACATCAGCAACAATATATAGTGTTATGGAATTAATTGACATAGTATTGAGTAAACTTAAACCTGAAAGTTTGGTGTTGAAGTGAAGTATCAAGTCCAGCCGCATGGATGTAACCTACCATTTGTTTGCATCTTTGCTGTGGTGGTCATGATCATTAGACTATGGTGTTGCACATTCCCTGTGCATTGTCGTGGTTAAATCGAGCGTTTCTGGAATCAACTATCATCTGGGAAGACAGAGCTGCATGAAGCTAACACAGCTCCGAGAAGCTTGAATGTGTCTGAAGCCCGTGGAGGATGAGGCCTCCAGGAGGGACCAGATACTTGTTTATTTCAAGGCCAGTTTAACCCTTGGCCACCTCAGCTGCCAGAAGGAATCAGAGGAACAGTCTCCTTCTTCCCAGTGCCCTCATCAGCATCTGTTCTCCATCTGAGACCAAGCTAACCTGACTTGACCTTCAGAGACAGGAGGTAGCTAAGACCACCCTCTAGTAGACAAAAGCCAGCCTAATCGATTGGTCCTGGTGTCACACTTGGGAACCCAAAGTGCCAACTGTCTGGTTTTCCCTTCCCTGTCTCTGCCCCTCCAGTTCTGCAGGTGACAGAGGTGGAGATATGGGTAGTCATTTTTGAGGTGGGGGGGGGAGGGCAACTCTGCTTAGCACTCCACCCTTCCCTTCCCTTTCCTTTGCTTCTCAGATCCTTGGCACATAGGAAACTATTTTCTATCTCCAAGAGCTACTACCAGGAGTTATCTTTAGTCTGAGCTAAAAAACTGAGAAGAAAGGAGCTCATTGATACCTACTCATAAACGTAGAAAGTGGTCTGGTAGCAAATTGGTAACCAGGGCCTTGGCTAATTTATTTCTTTCAGATTTTTTCCTGAAGCCCAGGCTCCAGGAACAAGACGTCCAGAGGAAACCAAGTTCTATTTACACTCACATATGCAATCCCTGGGTCTCACTGTTGGGGGTGAGTCATTTCATCTTGATCCCAATTGTCCCTAAGACTAAAGTCAGACAAAAACATTGTGATCTTGGGGGAAAGAAAGAGAGAGTGCTTAATATAGTGTAATATGCTTTAAATGCCTACTTATATTAGAGTTTAGATGAGAACTGCATGTGGCAAGATTACGTCTAAGAAACATCTATTTCAATCAATGCCTCACTTTTCAAAGAATTACTTGTCACTGATAACTTCTGGGTTGCTCAACTTTTAGGTACCCTAAGTTAGCTGTGTTAAGAGGAAGTTCAGAAAAGGTAGGCTACAATAACGGCTCTACTTTCCCATCAAAGAATATTTCCGGGAAATGTCCTTCTAAATATCTGTGTAGACTAGTTATTTTGAATTATCAGCAAACTTTGTTCAGATTTTTATGGTTAGCATTGATATAAAGTGCTATTTCTTTAGGCTGTGGCCCTGTGACTGACTCGCCATGAGGAAAAAACCCTGGTGACTTGTCTTTCCTGCTCTGTTTGCACAGGCTATTGGGTCTCTTCTCATCATGTTTGTGATCCAGTGGGTCTACACCCTGGTTAACATGGGTGTTGCAGCCATTGTGTATGTCTACATCGGCCAGGCCAGTCCAGGACTTCCTCTTGGTAAGCAGCAGAGCCATTTTGTCACTATTTCTCTTATTCTTCGGCATTCATTAAAACAAACAAATTTTGAACATCTATCAAATGCTGAAATTGATTCAGGTGTGAATCCCATTTTCTTTTTTTTTTTCTAAGGTTTATTTATTTTTATTGGAAAGTCAGATATACAGAGAGGAGGAGAGACAGAGGGGAAGATCTTTCATCTGATGGTTCACTCCCCAAGTGACCGCAATGGCTGGAGCTGAGTCAATCAGAAGCCAGGAGCCTCTTCTGGGTCTCCCACGTGGGCGCAGGGTCCCAAGCCTTTGGGCCATCCTGGACTGCTTTCCCAGACCACAAGCAGGGAGCTGGATGGAAAATGGAGCTGCCGGGATTAGAGCCAACACCCATATGGGATCCCAGTACATTCAAGGCTAGGACTTTAGCCTCTAGGCTATCATGCCAGGCCCAAATCCCATTTCAAGTAGCTTATAGTTGAGGGGAGAAATATGACATACACGTAACTGCTATCATTTAATATTATGCAAATGAAAACAACTTGTAAGGAATATAGGACATGCAGAAGTAAAATGGAGAACAATGACAGTACAAGGGAAGAAAAGGAAGTATAATATTGCAAGATTTTTTTGAAAAATGTATTTGTTTTTATTTGAAAGGCAGATTTACAGAGAGGAGAGATACACAGAGAGGTCTTCTATCCATTGGTTCATTCCTCAAATGGCTACAACAGCAGAGTGGAGCCAATCCAAAGCCACGAGTTAAGAACTTCTTCTGGGTTTCCCCTGAGGGTGCAGGGTCCTAAGGACTTGAGCCATGCTCCACTGCTTTCCCAGGCCGTAAGCAGGGAGCTGGATGGGAAATGGAGCAGCTGGGACACAAACTGGTTCCCATGTGAGATGTTGGTGCTTGGAGACACAGGATTGGCTAGTTGAGACACAGTGTCAGCCCCTGTTGTAGGATTTTATACTGTTTGGTAAGTTTAAGGTGTGAGCTATAAATCATAAGACAACTGTTAAAATAATATAACAAAGAGTAATGGTGAGATATAGAGGAGATTAAATGAAAAGAAACAAATCTGAAATGAAAATAAAGCAGAAAAAGAGGAAAACGATATTGCAGGATATGTAGACAAGCCATAGAACAAATAATAAGGAACTGCTGTTGTGACACAGCAAGTCAATTCCCTGCCTGTATTGCTGTCAGGCCGTATGAGAACCAGTTCCAGTCCCGGCCGCTCCACTGCCATCCCAGCTCCCTGCTAATGTGCCTGGGAAAGCAGAAGAATATTGGCCCAAGCACTCTGGCCTCTGTTATACATCATGGAGACTGGGATGAATGTCTAGACTCTGGCTTTGGCCTAACTAGACCCTGTTATTCTAGCCATTTGGGAAATGAACCAGCACATGGAATACTTCTCTTTCTCTGTTTCTTTGCCCTCTCTTTAACTCTGCCTTTTCATTGATCTTTAAAAAACTTAATGAAATGGTTTATATAATCCTAGCCACATCAATAATTGCATTAAGTATAAATGCTCTAAACACTCCCAGTTAAATGTCAAGTATTATCAGATTGAGTAAAACGGCATGACCCAAATATATGCTACCTACAATAAATCTTTATTTAAATATAAAATCGCAGGCAAAATAAAGAGATTAGGGCAGGTGTCATTAATCATTAAACTACTACTCGAAATGCTCACATCCCATACTGGAGGACCTGGGTTCAAGTCTCAGCTCTGCTCCCAATTCTAACTTCTTGTGCCCACTGGGAGGCAATTGGAGATGGTTTAAGTAATTGGGTCCCTGCTCCCATGTGAGAGACTCAGATCGACTTTTTGGCTCCTAGCTTTGGTCTAACCCAGTTCCAGCTCTTACAATCTTCTGGGGAGTGAACCAGCAGGTGACAGATCTATGCCTCTCAAATAAATAAAAATAAATTTAAAAACTGAAAAGAAAGGTAAATGTTTAGACAACGACATACCAGGCTATCACTAATGTAAAGAAAGCTGAAGTGGCTATGTTACCAGTTAGGCAAAGTAGATTTCTCTTTTATGTATGTGTGTATGTATGTATGTATGTGAAAGGAAGAGTTACAGGGGGTGGGGGGGAGTAAAGGACAGAGAGAGATCCTCCATCTGCTAGTTCACTCCCTAAATGGCCACAGTGGCTGGAACCAGACCGGGCTAAAGCTAGCAGCCAGGAGCTTCATCTTGGTCTCCCACAAGGGTGAGCAGGTGCCAAAATAGGCCATCTTCCACTGATTTAGCAGCAGAGAGGTGGTTTGGAAGTGGAGCAGCTGAAACTCGAATTAATACTCATGAGATACCAGTGTCACAGGCAGCAGCTTAACAGGCTATGCCTCACACTGGTCCCAGACAAAGTAGATTTCAGGGAAAAAAAAAAAAACACAATTCTAAAAAGAAGTCTTATAAAAAAAAATCGTCAAGAAAGCATAATAAATGCTAACATTTGTTTACTTAAACAGAGCTTTGAAATATGAACATGAAGCAAAACCTAATATAACTACAAGACAAAAAGACATAGTCATTGCCAGAGATTTCAACAACACCTCTCTCCCAGTAATTCAGAGCTGAGGGGGACGGGCCATGAGCCCTAGAAGCCTCACAACTTGATGTGTTCCGTCTCTGCCAAGGGAAACCACAGGCAAGACTCGAAACTCAGTAAATCTATAGCAGGCCTCGTTTTTAAAGACTATTTATTTGAAAGAGTTACAGAAAGAAAAAGAACCACACACACACATACTCAAAAACACACATCATCATCATCATCGTCTATCTGCTGATTTAACCTCCCCTCTAAGTGGCCACGATGGCCAGGTCTGAACCAGGCCAAAGCCAGGAACCTTGGCTTCCTCTGGGTCTCCCACAGAGGTAACACAGGTCCAAGCACTTGGGCCATCTTTTTCTGATTATCCCAAGCTATTACCAGGGAACTGGATCAATAGGGAAACAGCTGAAATAAAAACCGGTGCCCATTTGGAATGTTGGCAGTGCAGGCAGTGACTTAATGTGCTATGCTACACTGCTGGCCCCCAAGCAAGCCAATTTTTAAGCTAATAATGTTGTATGGCCTGTATATGATGTTATAAATATCCAAATGGCCCCTGGCAGAAGACAAGTTCTTCACTCCTGCAGCAACTGATAGAACTAATAAACAGTAAAGCTATGGAAAACTTTATAATATTATCAACAAGGCTGGCTGACATTTATAGAAACGCTACCACCAAAACAGAACACAGCTTCTTTTTCTTTCTTTCTTTTTTAAGATTTACTTAATTTTTTCTGGAAACGCAGATTTACAGAGAGAAGGAGAAACAGAGAAAGATCTTCCATCAGGAGCTGAGCTGATCCAAAGCCAGGAGCCAGGAGCTTCTTATGGGTCTCCCAGGTGGATACAGAGGTCCAAGCACTTGTACCGACTTCTGCTGCTTTCCCAGGCCATCAGCAGAAAGTCAAATCAGAAAGGGAACAACTGGGATACGAACTGGTGCCCATATGAGATGCGGGCAGCTGGAAGTATTAGCCAGTTGAGGCAACACACCGGCCCCTAGACCTTCTTTTCAACTTAAGTGAAGTACATGCCAGGATGATCCATATTTTAGGAGAAATAAAACAAGTTTCTAAAAATAAAATACTCTAGACAATACAAGAGCAATGCTTTCTGGTCAATTAGAAACATGCAGTAGAAAGATTCAGAATATTCCCCGATATTTAGAGGAACACTGAGTAACCAAGAATATGAAATAAACTATAGAAATGAATCGCTCATGTCAAAGAAGAAAATAGAAATGAAATTACAAAATATTCCCCTAATAAAAATGCAGAGATTCAAAATTATGGGAGCTAGCCAACTCAGTTTGAAAGATCTTCAGTAAGTTCAAGGAAATGGATATCACAAAAAACATCTGCATGGATTTCAGAACCTTTTTCGCAATGAAATAAATGTGTCTTTTAATTGTTTTTTTTTTTCACAAACTTTTCAAGTACCATCACCTAAGGGATGCTATCATCACATAAGGGAAATTTACAGCATGAAGTTCGTTATTAGAAAATAAGTTTTCAAATCAGTGATGTTGGCTTTCAACTTAAAAAAGAAGAGTAAATGAAATCCAACTTAAGAAGAAACAAAGGAAATGACAAAAGTTAAAGTGGAAATAATTACAGTGTAAAATGAAAGAGAAGAAAAAGAATGCCAGTAAAAGAAAAAAATGTGTTATATGAGCACATCAATAAAATTGATAAACCCCTAAAACCTGACTGATCATAATAAAAGCAACATCAATTACCAATTCCATAAGTGAGATTTCATCACTGAAGAGTCTTCATGTTAAAAGAAGATAAAGGTATATTATAAATAGCTTTATTTCAATAAATTTGACAATTCAGATGAATTGGGCAAATTCCTTGCAATATACAAACTAGTAAAACTCATTGGAGAGGAAATAGTTATACAGCTATTCAAATTATGCCTTAAAGAAATTAAATAAGTTTATTAAAAATATTTTCATAAAGAAAACTCTAGATCCAAAGTTCACTGGTAGTCATTAATGAATTCCACCAAACACTTATGGAAGAAAGAATATCATCAGTTCTAGAAGAACTCTTTGGAAAATTGCAATTACTTATTTATGAACATAGATCCAAAAATCCATAACAAAATGGTAACTAATGGAATCCAACAATACGAGCGTATGAAAAAGCTAGTACTTCATGACTAAGTGGGTTTATCCCAGGAAGACAAGGTTAGTTAGTTTAAAATTTGAAATTAATGATTTAAAGATGAAAAATGCAAACATTAAGGTGTTGATGAGAATAAATTATAGAAACAAACAAATGGAAGCATCCTGTGATCATGAATTAGAAGACTCTATATTAATTTTTTTCTTTTCTGCCCAAGACTCTATATTCTTAGGACATTAGTTGTCCCTAACTTCTTACATAGGTTTGACACAACTCATCAAAATCTGAGCTCCCTTCTTTTGTAGAAATTGACAAGCAAATTCCACAATATTTATGTAGCCCTGCATGATTGCTCAATTGGAATAATTCTCCCTTTTCAAAGCTCTGGGATCCCATATGGGTGCTATTTCATGTCCTGGCTGCTGCTCCACTTCCCTTCCAGCTCCTTGCTTTTGGCTTGGGAAAGCAGTAGAGAATAGCTCAAGTGATTGGAAACCTGCACCCATGAAGGAGACTTGGAAGAAGCTCCTAGCTCCTGACTTTGGTTTGGCTCAGTTCAAGACTTCCTCTTTTCAAGGTTGATGTTACATTCTTAGTTATTAATTAATGTTAATAAAATGTTTTGTTATCTTCCCTCTGTCACACAATACAATGCAACAGAGTGTCTTCTCTCAGCAATTTTAGATATGAGTGCAAGTCTAAAATGTGTCCCGGAAAGATACTGAGGAAACACCATATACCATTGATATTAGACAGATATTCAGACACAGGCCTCTCAAAATAATACTAACTTCCTGATCATATATCTGACATTATCTCATTAATCAGTTTGCAACCTGTGTATATATGATTTGGAAAAGCATTTTATAAAATTACATTGACTTATTTTTCTAAAGTATTTATAAATTATTATGTGAATATTTTAAACATACACAAAAGCAATGGGTGAATTCTCTTTTCCAAAAATATTTGGTAAAACCTATAGAGACGTTTGCTGGTTCTCGTGTATGTTGGGAGTTTAAATACATTGACCCTGTTCAAACTGGGCTTCTGTGGGGCAGGTATGTGATCTGGCAGCCTGGTGCCTCCTGCGTGCTGCTTTGGGCTGTCTGGGCTTGCCATGGATCCCCAGTTCCCAAGTCCCACTTCCTGCTAATGGAAGGCCCGAGAGGCAGAAGTTGGTGACTCAAGTGTTGGGTCTCTGCCGTTTCCGTGGAAGACACGGATGAAGTTCCTAGCTCCTACGGCAGGCATTTGGGGGAGTGAACTGGTGGGTGGAGGCTGTGTATCTCTCTACCTCTAGCTCTTTTTCTTTCTCTCACTTTCTCCCTCCATGTCTTTCTGTGGGTGTTTGTATGTGTGTGTCTTTTTGTATCTCAAAAAGCCATTTGAAAAAAAAAAGAAAAGAAAAACAGAAACGCTGCAACACCTGGGATTGTAGCAGCTCACGCCTTCATAAACGCTAATGTAAATGTCTTCCCTACAGGATCAGCCTCCAACTTCAGCTTTTTCCGATGGATGAGGTCTCTTCTGACCCCCACCTGCAGGTCTGTGCGCATTGGTGGTGGTGGTAAGGAGGGGTCAGTACCAGGGTGAGTGAGTGTCCAGAATCCTGGGAGGTGTCCAGGATACCCCACTCCCAGCTGGCTTTGGGCCTAGTGTGGGAAGCTGGCAGTTGAGAATGTGCAGGAATCTTGGGTTTTGCTCCCCTCTGTGTTCCACCAGGACATCCAGACCCCATGCATCAGGCCTTCAGAAGCTCCTATCAGCTTGGGCCCTCTTCCCCTCAACCCTCAGTGATCATGAGTGGAGGCTTGTTTTAGAAACCCACAGTGGGGCTCACGAATCTCGGCCCCCAACTCTCAGGCAGTTCACGGTAACATCCCTTCAGAAGCTCCTATCAGCTTGGGCCCTCTTCCCCCCAACCCTCAGTGATCATGAGTGGAGGCTTGTTTTAGAAACCCACAGTGGGGCTCACGAATCTCGGCCCCCAACTCTCAGGCAGTTCACGGTAACATCCCTTCAGAAGCTCCTATCAGCTTGGGCCCTCTTCCCCCCGACCCTCAGTGATCATGAGTGGAGGCTTGTTTTAGAAACCCACAGTGGGGCTCACGAATCTCGGCCCCCAACTCTCAGGCAGTTCACGGTAACATCCGTGCATAATCACACACAAGATCAGAACGCAAAGGCAATGTGAAGCCAGGGCTTGCATTCCTGCATCTCACATCAGGGGGCGGTAGGCATGACCTTCGTGGTCATGCAGAGGCTAAGTGCAGAAGTCAAGCAGAGTTCCTCAGTGTCCAGACGCCAGGAGAGGCAGATGCACCTCTCTGAGAAGCAGAAGGCGCCAGAGAGAAGGCCAGCTTAATCAGGCACCCTGATGTCCTTCCTGCTCCAGCTCTCACACTGCCAATGCTTTCTCAACTTCAAAAGCCTTGGGATCCTCAAGAATGACCTCTACCCTGTGTCCGCTTTCTGTGTCAGCAGCCAAGGCTTCAGGCTGGGAATATCCGGGCAGAACCCCACCCAGTGTTTATCTGGTTTCATTTTGGTTGGTTTGTTTTTGCAACTCTAGATGCACTTGCCAGTATTTCCCAACTCCCACGCCAAGACATTGCTAATGGATCTTGGGACCCTTTTCCATTGGTCCCAGATGTACATGCAGAGCCTTCTATTTTCTCTCATATTGTTGCTGTGGCAAAATACACATATAACATAAAATCCACCACCATAACCACTTGAAAGCTGATGGCCCAGTGGTGTTCTGTACTTCTGTGTTGTGGTCCAGCCATCATCCCCAATCCAGAACCTTTCATCTTTCCACACTGAAACCCCAAGCCCACCAAACACTAACCCTCCATTTCCCAGAGTCCTTTTCAAGACAGCTCTTTACAAGAACCACCGATTTTAATTTAAATTGCTACAAGAAAGAAAACCTCAGTGTTAGAGTTTGGGATGATGACAAAAACCAAAAAAGACCAGGGGCTGCAGAAACCAAGAAAGGGGGCCCAGGGACTGAGGCTGGAGTTTGGAAGGAGGGGCTACCCATCCTCACCTGCCGAGGCTAGCTGGGTTACTTGTCCAGGTGGAGCCAAAAGGAGGGTGAGGTCCAAGGTTGGGCTCACTTGGAAACAGATGTTATGTTGGATGCTGCCTACAGATTTTGAAGCTGAAAAGTACTGTGTGGGTGAGAGTGTTTGGTCTTATCTGATTAACAAGAACATTTTTTTAGTCCTTTCTTGCTGTAAGACCAACTGTGGCCTTGAAGGTGACTACTCTTTTTGTTGTACTCTGGAGTCCTGAGGTTCCCTGAGCTCTGAATGCAGAGCTCTGTAAAAGATGGCTCTTGGGAAAGGACAGGTGTTTGGGCTGGAGTAGAAGTCAAGTGGAAGTGGGCAGTCTCCATCTACCCTTGGCCTTGCCATGGCTCCTAGGAGACAATCTGCAATGTTCAGGATGATGATTCATTTCAAAATAAAAAGCAAGCTGCTGTGTTTTCCATTCTGTAGCTTTGAACTTTCCCCTCCCTGCAGCACCAAACATCCTTCAAACCTCTGTGTCCTTCTGGGTTTGGGCAGAAGAATTTGCTCTATTACTCCCTCTTACATCTGCACCAATGTGATGCTAATCCTGACCTTGAGAAGGCTTTCTCTTCTGGAACCATAGCAACTGTCCAAATAAGAGTTCTTAAACCATTCTAGACTAGAAAGTAAAATATGTTATTACTCCCAGCTCAAAAGAATGTGATGGTTTCATCTTTTTTTTTTTTTTTAAGGCACTGGTAAAAATACTGCCTTGATTGATTTGACATTTTATGTCCCTTTCTAACCTTACTTATATTTTTTTAAAAATTACTATTATTTTGTTTGAAGGGCAAGAAAGATCTGTCATCTCTTGCTTCACTTGGCCAATGCTCTCACCAGGCTGGGCTGGGCCAGACCAAAGCCACGAGCCTGGAACTCCGTCTGGGTCTCCCACACAGGTGGGAAGGACATGAGTGCTTGAGCCCATTATGTCTTGCCTTCCAGGCTGCCAGCCTGCAGGGCAGGGGAGCCAGAACTCAAGCAGGCCCTCTGCTAGGGGATAAGGGCAGCACCCACTTAATCTCGACAGCCATGGCACAATCCCACCCCCTAACCTTAGCTTATGCAGCTTTTACAAAACCACATTCCCAGAACCCTCTGCTTCTATAGTTTAGATCAGTTATCGCCAAATGACTGCCACGCCTTTAATCAGGTGATCGGAACTTGAGTGGTGTAACATTTTGCCAGAGTATTAGTTAAAACTTTTCTGCTTCAACCAATTGATGAAAATAAACATCTACCTTTTTACGGCTCTCATATCTGTTCCGGATGGAAACAGTTGAACTTGACGATGAGCAACGGGCACAATTCTTTGAGAGTAAAATGGTGAAGAGGCACTTGGTTGCCTAACTCCAGACTTCAGGCCCTCCCACAGACGGCTGGGCCTGGCGGGGAGCTGGGAAGATGAACAAACAGAGGTGGAAGGAGGTCAAGAGATCTCCCGAGGCCACGAAGCAGATTGGTGATGGAGCCGTGGCTGTTTCTGTGTTCTGAAGCTGCGGGGACTACCTGTCTGAACTTGGCTTCCTCCGTTCTCCTCTCGCACGTCCTCTAGCGTAGGCTTCATCCAGCTGTATCTGAATGCAGAGCTCCTCTGGGACTCGCCGTTTGCCTGCAGACCACCTTTTCTCTCCAAAACTTTGCAACTTGCCTTTTTGCTATTTGCCTTATGACTGTGGCTCTGGGAATCCATTCCTGGTCCAACTTGCTTTCCAAGCTGTCAGGAGAAACTTTCCCTTCCTGCTCTCCTAATCACCCAGCTTCTCTACTCCATTATTCATTTGAAAAAAACAGAAGAAGAAAGAAGAAAAAGAAAAGCTACAGAGTCCTACTATGACACCATTTGGAAGGCAAAAGTCCTCGTTGTAGTTTTTCTCCTACCATGTGAATATTGTTTTATGCTTTTCTGCTTAAGAAGGTAATGATCATCCTACTTTTAAAATTTGCTGTGAGGATACTTCAAAAAAAAACTCGTGGAAAAAGTGACATTAAAGCATAGGTTTATTGTGGCACAGAAAGGTGCGATCTGTTTAGTCTTTTGTAATGCCCACTTTTCATGAACTTTTCTAAAGACTGTCCCGCGTTGTTCAGAAGCTGTCCTCCCTAACAGCTTCCAAGGCTTCCAGACCCTGCTCGGTCATGTGCACAATGGATGGTCTGACCAGAACAGACTTACCTTCCCTGGTCTCCACTTGGCTCTTCGCTCCTTACCACCCTCTGGGTCTCTTTCTGCTCTCTCTCTCCCTGAAGGAGCTTGCGGTCCCCCCAGGAACAGATCATTTTGGCGCCGTCCCCTGCCAGGGTTGACATGGCAATGACCCAGCTCACTCAGGAGAACGCTGACTTCGCTTCCCGGGATCGCTACCACCACGCCTCCTCCGTGAGTCGGGAACAGCTGATGCCTCGATACTAGAAGCCGCACTGGGACCCTTGGGCCCGGACCTTGGGTGGTGCTGCTTCTCCTCGGCCGGCGGGAAACTCCAAGACCCGCCATTCCCACTGCTGCTTTAGACGACGGCTGAGAGCCCCGAGTCTACCCTCTGTAACCTTAGAAAGAGCTCTCCATCTTCCCGGACACCAAAACTGCCAGAAGTGGGGAACCATACCTTGCTATTTCTGAGAGCTTCAATAAATGCTCATTTTTAATTAAATTTATTTATTTAATAAAGAAGCTACACACATGGTTCCAAACCCCAAAATATACTCGGGGGAAGAGTGAAATCTCACTCCTATCCCTTCTGCTCAGCTCCTACCCCGACCAGAGACAACCACATTCTCATATACACTTCCTGCTGTCCTTCTGAACGTACAGTCACACCGTAATGTGGGCTCTGACCACTCCCTCTTTAATACACAGAGGTAGCCATGGGTGCTGCACCTAGCTTTTTTTTTTTTTCCTTTAAACTGTATGTTGGAGATATTTCCATGTCAGTCCGGATGCAGCATCCTCATTGTGTCTTGTTGTATGGCATGCTATGATTTATTCTGCCAGTTCCACTGTGATGGGCACCTTGATTTTTCCCAGTCTTATCACATCCGGGTCTATAGTGAATCATGTTATATGTACGGGCATAAAGGATTATCCTCAGAAGTGGGACTGCAGGATCCAATAGTACAGGTGTCTATCAGCTCTTATGGTTTAGAGAAGGTCTTTTTCATTTAAAAGATGACTTACTATGAAATAGCCCACACTAACGGATGTGCTCACAGGTTGTTTGTGGTCTCTGCTGCCTTGTGTTATGCATGGCCACAGAGGAGACAGGACTTAGCTGGTTCCTCTGAGAGACCAGCATGGCATTGTTCAGAAGTGTCCACAGTGAGGGCTGGGAAGGTGCTGGGGAGGGCACCTGGGCCATGACTTCTTTTAGCTAAGTTCAGTACCTAACTTAGAGCTTTGGTCCCTGAGTCATGGAGGAGAGTATTTGAGTCACTTCTCACTAGACTTTATCTGATCAGCATGCTGTAAATCACAGTCGTTGTTCCAACTGCAGACTGGGGCAGATACTAGTGGTAAAGACACCAGTCAAGATGCCTACATCCCATGTTGAAATTCTGGAGCTCTTGACGTGGCCCTCCATCCTGCCTCCAGCTTCCTGCAAACCTTGGGAGATGGTGGTGATGCCTGAAGGATTTGGGTTCCCGCCATCATGTGGGAGACTTAGATTGGATTCCCAGCTCTGAGGTCCTGGCCCAGTCCTAGTGTTTACAAAAATCTGGGGAGTGAGTTAGCAGATAGCATCTCTCTCCCGATTCCTTCATCTCTCCCTTCTTACACACACATGCGCATGCAAACACACACACGTTCTCGCTCTCTTTTACTTCTTTATTCCTCTGTTTCTTCACCACTCTCTCCATCATGCCTTTCCTCTCTCTCTAATAAATAAGTAAGTTTTTCTTGGTCAGATTTCTGTACCTCCCCCCTAATCTTTTTATCTGGTGATTTTGGGAGTGTAATCATGGACTTCACATCTTCTGTAAGTTCCTCAGAACCACACTTTGAATGGCACTGACCTGTTGGATAGAAGGGGTTTTTAGAGCAGATGAGAGCTGGGAAGTACCTGGGGAGGGGCCAGTTCAATCATGCCATTCATTCCTGGGAGATGAGGTCTCATGATGGTAGCTGTTCACAAAGTCTAGATTTGGTTAAGAACAAAATTCCCAAGCATCATCAGAGATTAACTTTGAGAACGCAAACTTTGACTCAGCCATAGGCTGTGTGGAGGTGAAAAACACCACACTAGGGCACATGGTAGTCATGAGGGGCTGGATGAGGTGATCACCAAAGACCCTTTGAAGAAAAGGCTGCACTTGCTTCCTGTGGTTGCTGTTGTGAATTACACAAAGCAATTGGCTTGGGCTTGGCGTGATAGCCTAGTGGCTAAAGTCCTCACCTTGCGTGCACCAGGACCCCATATGGGCGCTGGTTCTAATCTCAGAAGCTCTACTTCCCTTCTAGCTCCCTGCCTATGGCCTGGAAGAGCAAATCAGAATGGCCCAAAGCCTTGGGACCCTGCACCCATGTGGGAGACCTGGAATAAGTTCCTGGCTCCTGGCTTAGGATTGGTTTGGCACCAGCCATTGCGGCTACTTGGGGAGTGACCCAACAGATCTTTCTCTCTTCTCTGGCTTCTCAGATTTATTTCTCAGATTTCTGTAAATCTGACTTTCCAATAAGAATACATAAATCTTAAAAAAAAAAAAAAGAAGAAAAGAAACAGAACAGGATCACAGGAGGTAGAGTGCTGAGCCGGGAGCTGGGGCTATGGAGACCATGGTGGAAGTCTAACATAAGAGCCCAGATCTGAAACTCACTGGAGGGAGTGGCACAAGTGACTGCAAAAAAAGAAACACGCACCAAACACAATAAGCAAAACTGAATTGCAAACCTGTGGGTGACATAGCTTAGAAACCTGTCCCAAGGTGAAGAAACTGCTAAATAGAAGTACAATGACCAAGAGCAGAAGAAGAGACAGAGGCACAATGAATTTTACTGAAGGAGCAAAACCTTTGCCAACCTCAGAATTAACTGAGAAAGACATTGAGAAAATGGGAGATACAGAATTCAAAACATTTGTTACAAAGCTTCTTAACAATGGGAAGCACATGCAGGAATGTAATCAGTATGTCACACAGGAAGTAACACTGGAATAAAATCAAGCCAAATTATTGGAAATGAAAGACACAATAGAGCAAATTAAAAATTCAGTGGAAAGTCTCAATAATAGAATGAAGAACAGAATTCTGAGAAAGAATCTCAGAATTGGAAGATATTCTCACAATGGAGAAGCAATCAAAAAGCTGGAAAGAGAACTGGGTCAAGCTAAATAAAAAAGGATTCAAAAATTAAGAGACACTACTAAAAGGCCAAATATAAGAGTTATGGGAGTTCTAGGAAATGCAGAAAGAGAAGCTGGGTTTAAAAATGTATTTAATATGGGACCTGATGCGATGGCACAGTGGTTAAGGTCCTCGCCTTGCATGCCCTGGGATCCCATATGGGCGCCGATTCTAATCCCGGCAGCCCTGCTTCGCATCCAGCTCCCTGCCTGTGGCCTGGGAAAGCAATCGAGGATGGGCCAAAGCTTTGGGACCCTGCACCCGTGTGGGAGACCTGGAAGAGGCTCCTGGCTTCGGATTGGCTCAGCTTCGGCCGTTGCGGCCCGCCTGGGGAGTGAATCATTGGACGGAAGATCTTCCTCTCTGTCTCTCCTCCTCTCTGTATATCTGACTTTCCAGTAAAAATAAAATCTTTTATAAATGTATTTAATAAAATAATCAAATAAAATTTCCCTAATCTGGACAAAGATTGGGAAACAACATGCAGGAGGGCCACAGAACTCCCAACAGGGTTGTACAAAAGCAATCTTCAACATGACACATGATAATCAAGCTATCTTCAGATGAACATAAGGAAAAGATCCTTAAATATGCACGTGAAAAAAAACCAGTTGACATACGGTGGAATGGCAATTGAATTCACTGAAGACCTCTCACAGGAAACTCTATAGGCAAGAAGAGAATGGAGTGACATATTCCAGATTCTAAAAGAAAAAAAATTGTCGGCCCAGGATAACGTACCCAACAAAGCTTTCCTTTGTCTTTAAAAATGAAATAAAATTCTTCCACAGTAAAAAAAAAAAAAAAAAAAAAAAAAAGTTAAAAGAATATGCCTCTTCCAAATCTTCCCTACAAGGATACTTAAAGATGTTCTTTTGACAGAGAAAAGGAATAGTGCCCACCAAAACCAAAGGCAAATGGGAAGAACATCCCAGTAAAATAGCAAGACTAAATCAATGAACAGCCCATTGCTAAAAATGACAGAACAAAATTACCACCCATTCATATTAACCCTGAATGTAAATGGCTTAAACTCATCAATTAAATGTCATAGATTAGTAGACTGGATTAAAAACACAAAACCTATCTATTTGTTGCCTACAGAAGATACATCTCACCAAGAAAGGCTAGTGTAAACTGTATCTCATGGATTTTTACAGGTTTTTTTTAACTTCATCTCTTCAGAACACTTTTTTCTCATTAAATTCTTCATTGACTCATAGATACAGTAGCATCATTTTCTTCAAAAAGTTCTTGATTTTCTTTTTCATTTCTTCAGCGACACATTAGTCATTCAGTAGCATGTTATTTAACTTCATGGCATTGTAAATTTCTTTTTTTCCTTCCTGTTGATTTTGTTTTGTGGCTTTTCATTTAAGGGGATGTACAGTAATTGTGTAATGGAGACTATCATATCCAGTGGCATGTTGTTTAACTTCATGGCATTGTAAATTTCTGCTTTTCTTCCTGTTGATTTTGTTGTGGCTTTTCACTTGGGGGGATGTATAGTGACTGTGTAGTGGAGACTGACATGTCCAGATGTGAGGATACGGTGCAGTGTGCATCTCTACTTCTAGATCGAGGATGGACTCCCAGTGAAACTGTTGGATGTGTTATCCCAGGGCCTATGAAACTGTATCATAAAATGATAATAATTTTAAAAAGAGAGAAAAAAGAAAAAGTGAAAAAAAAAGCACTTAGCTAAAAAAGCAGCACAAAATTCCTCTGTCAGAATTCTGGAAGCCAAAAGTCTGCCATTGGCCGTCTGGGCAAGTATCAAGTTGTCAGGGCTGAGCAGTGGTGAAGTTGGGAGTGTTCCTTTCCCGTATCTTCTGGGTTCTGGCGGTAGCCAGCATTCCTTGATTTGTGGTCTGATAACCCAGTCTGCAGCATATCCCCCGTCCTTCCCTACACTGCCTTCTGTGTGAAGTCAGCCTTTATCACTCTGATACAGGGATGCATGTGATTGCCTTTCAGACCCACCCAGTTAATCTAGCATAATGCCCTACTCCTTCCTGCCTGTCTGATTCAAGATCCTCAATCAACCTGCAAATTCTTTACCAGTAGATACAATGTGGAAATCTAT